TGATGGCCCAAATGGCCTGCTTCCACACTGTAGGGATTCTATGATTAAAAAGGAAGTTCTATGAATGTGCAGTGCAACACATCAAACATTGTGCGAAAGCAGTTGCCAACCATTTCTCACTTGCTACAGAGGATTGAATGGGGACTGCCAGGTTGCCAAAGTGATGCATCTGTTATATACTGAATGCAGATGGACATTGTGCCTTGATCAATGCTGCTGCCTGTAGGAGACAAAATAATGGGTCCTATAACTTATAGCCCCAGGGTGGAGACAGCCTGCAAATCTGGATGTAGTGCTAGTATCTCTCTCGAATAATGTCCCCTTTTAATTTATCCGTTCTTACATTGTCTCTTGTATAAAAAAGATTGTGCATTCTTGGCTTTTATCTAGACATGAATTTCTACTTCCTCTATTGCCCCTGCATTCTCTATGAACCCTCTACTATTGGAGAGATTCAATTGACCCCAGCCCCTCTGTAATCATTCACCAGGATTCCCACTCCTCACCACCATTCCAGGCCTGATGTTGGATGGTGCATGGATGTAGACCCCAGCTGAGACTCAGCTATAAAGCCCAGTGGGATCTAGCCATCTGTTGCACTAGGTAGGAGAGTTAGAAAAGGCACGGATGTTTGTGAAGGGTCTTGCTGCTGTTACTGCTGGATTTTCAACCAAGCATGAAATAGGTTCCTCAACAGGAAAAGGAATCTGAATGCTATTGCTGCAAAAACAGTTAATGTGTTGTATTGTGTGCAATTAAAGACGGGATGATGTTAGGTGTTGAACACCATTGGGCTATGTTCATTTCTAAACATGATGCATCAAATCCCTGACAATAACCTCCATTAGACAAAAGACTACAAGAGCAGGAGTTGGCCATTTCCCCTCAATTCATTCTTCACCAAGACCATGGCTGACTTGAACTGTGATCTTAACTCTACCTTTCTGAATGCCCCTCTTGGCCCTTGACACCCTTGAAGGTTAAAAACATTTACCTTGGCCTTGAATGTATCCAGTAACCTCTGCTAGTCCAACAATTCACAAGGTTAACTCTCCCCTTATTTTGAAATTGTGCCCCCTCATTCTAGATTCCCCCACAAGAGGAAACATTCTCTCAGTGTCTACACTCTGAAGGCCCATTAGAATCTTGTAATTTCAATAAGTAACCTCTCATTCTTCGAAACTCCAGTGAGTTTTGTTTAACACACTGATATCCACTTGATGAATTAGGCAGTGAAAGGCTTTTAGGCATTTACAATGATTTATGGTAAATCTACAGTTTAGCACAGAAACCAGTCTCCACCTTTCCTTTTCAGACTCTTTCCTTTGCAGGAGCTAACTCCACACTCGGGATGAATCCAGCTCTTTTTTTAAACTAAATCTACCACCGAGCAAACTAAACACCCAATTAACAAGTTACAGCAAACACTGTGTAATATTAACTAAAATCAGGCAAGGATGCAACAAAGGAGGGACTAAATCAAAACAGTGTTAGAGATGGAGGTAATGCACTCTAGCCCCTGAGGTGCCAACTTCTTTCCAAATGTTTTGAGGGGCCTAGTGCACATTGTGTGCTCTCTGGCCAAGGATACCTGGGCATGGATGTAGCTGTGGAAGAGAGAAGAACCCACCATTTTGGTTTTGAATAGTCCCCCACCAAATTACCTAAATGAAGTAAGAATTAACAAGCACTGCCCACCACGGGCAATGCAAAAATAATAAAAAGTTAAACAAAGTGAAGCGAATAAACTACTTTGTCAAATCGAAATAGGGTTTGTGGGGGAGATAATGGACTCCAGCCTCCCCAGTGCCCACTCTCTCTCTAAATGCCTCAAAGGTGTTGGTGGTCTCCACACGCTCCCTCTCCAAAGACACTTGGACATGGACATAACCGGAGGAGAGAGAAGAATCCAGTTCTTAAAGACAAAGCCTAATGAGCATCAGCTACTCTCAATCAACACTGGAGCTGTTCTTATTGACCCTTAAAAGGTCTCGCATGTCTAACCTGACAAATTTAGGGTCACCTTAATCCTCATAAGGCAGCCTCTTCATCTGAGGAATCAATCAAATGAACCTCCTCTGAGTTGCCTCCAAGACAAGTATATCTCCTCCAGATGTGACCTCACCTGCACAGATGTCATAATAATTCAAATAAAAACCAAAAGAACTGCGGATGCTGTAAATCAGGAATAAAAACAAAGTTGCTGGAAAAGCTCAGCAGGTCTGGCAGCATCTGTGGAGGAGAAAACAGAGTTAATGTTTCGGGTCCAGTGACCCAGTGACCCAGTTCTGAGGAAGGGTCACTGGACCTGAAACGTTAACTCTGTTTTCTCGTCCACAGATACTGCCAGACCTGCTGAGCTTTTCCAGCAACTTTGTTTTTGTTGTCATAATAATTCTCTACTTTTAGATTTGATCTCCCATCCAATAAAAGCCATCATTTCATTTGCCTTCCTAAATACTTGCTGCTGATATGCTGATATTTTGATGTTTCATGTACCAGGTGACCTCCTATCTCCCTGTGGTGCACAATTTTGCAGTCTCTTTCTGCATTTAAATAATATTTTGCTTTGCTATAAGTCCCACAAACGTGGATAAGTTTACATCTTACCACATTATAATCTATCAATGTAAATATTAACAGTGGTATTGCAAAGCAAAAATTAATCTCCAAAGCCATGTTTCATTAAATATGCATCACGTTATCACAAACAGAACCCAATTAATAAGAGGCAAAACTCGGAGGAGACATACAAAAGAATTTATTTCTCATGTGCCACAAAGAAATCTGAACAGAATAGAACCATTAATGAAAGCCGCATGGGTCAGTTTTTTGACCTTCCAAATTGTCTCTAAGAGTAGTGACAACACCATGCCTCTACTGCCAAGCTTTGCAAAGGGAGATTCCAATGAATAGGTACTGAATAAAGGCAGATGCCTTGTTAAAACTCCCAGCTCCCTGCCAGCCAGCTACCCAACCGTTCTGTTTTCACTCACTTCTCACTGGGCTGTGATGATATGCCCAACACTTCCCCACTTTTCCTCCCCTTCCCAAACCCTCAACCCACCCCCCTCAACTCCTATGCACCTCCCTGAACCCCACCATCAGTCCCTTGGGAAATCCAGCAGTTTGACTGTTTAATCCCAACCAAAAAGAAAACTGTATTTCTGTGTTTTTTTAAAAATATTTTTAAAATTCTCTTAAGAAGTGCAACTCTTTTATCACAAGCCCTCTTTCTCAGTCCATCCGATGAATGCTTAAAGTCATACAATCTGCGTTTCGTTCTCAGTTGAGATAAGTGAGTTTTTCTTTTGTCCAAAATGATTCCAGTTCTCCCCCTCCCCATCTGCTCCCCTCCCCCCCCACCACCCCCCCCCCAACCCTCTGTAACCCCTCCCCACCCCTCCCCACCAGGCTTTCCCACCCGTACCCCTTTCACCCAATCCCACTGGGTAAGCAAGTGTGATAACAGCATGCAAGAGTTGATCACAATGATCTCTGCTGGGTTCTGTTTTGCCACTAAACATCTAATGGTCACGGAGTTTGCTCGTGTTATTTTTTTTGTTTATGAAAAGAGAAAAAGCAGCTCCGATGGAGGTGAGGGCAGGTGCCTCAGTCAGAACACAGGTCCAGTTGACAGCGAGCGAATCACAATGAAAGTGATCTCTGCGACTGAACAGTCTCCAGAACCGAGTCAGGTCACAACAACCCTGTTCATTCTACCGACCATGTCTGACACTCTGTGCGTGTGTGTGTGCGTGTGTGTGTGTGTGCGTGTGTGTGTGTGTGTGTGTGTGTGCGCGTGTGTGTGTGTGTGCGTGTGTGTGTGTGTCTCACAAAGAAGTTGAAATTGGTTATCGGTGTAACACAACAACCGAATAAAAAGCAGAGCACTTCTTAAAATTTGCATAGTGTTGAATCTCTTTGTCTTTTTAAAAGAACCCTTTTTTCTTCCTCTCTCTCATTTCTAATGAAACAAAAACAAAATAAAAATTATAAGTCCAGTGTGAAAGACTACCTTTCCTCAGCACTGTGTGCCCACCAGAATAAAGGGCCATGCTGTGCTTTATTTGAACATTGTAGGAAACACAAAAACACTTTTAACAGAACAGGTGCTGATTTTTTTTGTCTTTTGTCAGTAAATCTACAAGACACTGCTGTATCAGTGTATTCGCTAATAGATGCAGCTGTGATGTATATATACAAGAGGAATTTCTTCACATTATAAGCAAATATCATCCTACAAAGCAGCAATCCTTCCTTTGCAAGTAACAATACATTACGTAATTGCTGGGATTATTATTTTCCACAGTTCCTTCTACACAGTTCTATTGTCATATAATATGCACATTGAAGATTCAGCTGCATATTATCATATAAATTCCAAATCTCTTATGTAGTAGTATAATACTGATTTACAATCAATGCATACACATCCTGTAAATAAAAACCTAATAATAACCGAGTCTTTGGCAAATGTTGCAATAAAAATTACATTCACTTTTTTAATCAGTTGTTTCAGAGTGCAGTACCAAGTAGGTTGTCCCTTACCATGCAACGTTTGTGTGTCTCTTTCTTGATAACTTCCTCCCTACCCCTGCCTCTGACTCTCCATCCCACCCACCTGTAACCCCCCAACCTCTCTCTTCCCCCTAACCCACTCCCCCCAATTAATTTTATAAAGTTGTACCCAAGTGGGTTGTACCTGCCTTCGTGAACAGGTCAGGAAAGAGACAAACAAAAGCATTGGGGAGCTGTGGCAGTGAATATTGTGCTGTCTGTGACTCTTTAAGAATTGTGTTTGGAGTTCTGTTGAGGGTGCGGAGCGGGGGAAAGAGAGATCCTCCAGTGTTTGCACATGCCTGTCTGTATGTACGTGCGTTTGGTCTGTGTGTGTGCGTGTGTGTGTGCTTGTATGTCTCTTCGTATGTGTGTATTTGTATGTCTGTCTGTTCATGTGTATTTGTAGACCTGTCTGTTCGTGTGTACCTGTGTGTCTGTCCGAATGTGCCTGTTTATATGCCTGTCTGCCTGTATGTGTGTGCATGCATGTCTGTCTGTATATGTGTATTTGTGTGTCTGTCTATCTATACGTGTGTGTATGAAATGCCTGTTCTTTTTTTGCACTCGCATGCAGATAAGAAGTGGTGAGGACGCAGAACAAAGCAACCTCCAGAACACAGGCTTTTTATGTCAGTTCACAGATTAAAGTATGTGTAGTGGAGAACACATTGTCAATCTGTACTACCACAATAAGCGCAAGCAACAATCTGGAGAGCTCAGTGAATATTCCACCCCTGTTACCCCACCATCAGAATCATTCTAAGATAACCTTGCTCTTAATTCTGTTGTGTATGGAAGCTCTGGTTTCTGGCAGGTAGTCAGAAGGCAGGGTTTACTGTGACTGCCAAAGCATATAGCTATTTTGTAATGTCTATCTACAGGCTTCATTAATACCTTTCACCACTGGAGTGCAGTAACTGTAAACTCAAAATACAAGCCAATTAAGTGCCTATTTGACTCTTTTCTTTCTTAGAAAGGAAAGCATTTTTAACGATGTCGTTCTACTGCAGAAATCGGTGCCCCTTACCAACTCCAAACCCATTGCAGCCATAATTGGTACAATCAGATAGCTAGTGCAAAAAAAGTACATGGAAACATCAGCTATTATGTGGCCTTTCCTTCATTCATCCAAGATCGGTCTGTTGAAGAAAGTAAACTGCTTTTCGGTCTTCATTCTATACCTTCCATCATCAACTCCGGAAGCGAAACACAATCGAATTTACTGAGAACCGTTGCACGTTAAGTGTGTTGGGGTTTGAATGGTTAAGTGTGGCTCTCGGGTGCTTCTCACAGGTAGCGCTTACTGCTTTTGGTCATTTCCTGAAAAGACTGCATGTCATAGGAACCAATGTATCTGGAGAATCGCCAGGAGCAGAGAGCTCAACAGAGCTCGGTGGGTCCAGTCTGGGAGGAGGGATGTGAGGGACAATGGTGCAGCCAAGGGGGCAACTAGGAGACGGCATATGTACCAGCAAGAGCCTCCCCTGACCCTGAGCGGGAAGGGGGTTGGGGTAGCAGGTGTGAGGGGAGGAAGGGCCAGAGATGCCACACAGGGGTGGGCAGCAAGGCTACAGAGTGTGTGGTGCATTCCCTCCATCCATTACACCAGGAGTCAACACTCAGCCAGAGTTTTGAGATAGGCTGTCTTGTAAACATGATGCAGCGAGGAATGAGTCCGTTTGATTAACCCACCAGTTGTCATGTCGCTGTTGCCTTCCCAGACATGGTCTTCATGTAAACAACAGATGTTCTTTCATTGTTGTTTCATTAGGCCTATAGATATATTTGGAATCATTGCAATCACCAAATTAAACATGGGAGCATGAGCTCGTCCAAATGCCAAGTTAATGTTTTGAAGCACTGAAGCAGCTTTTTTTTGTTAATGTATTTTTAAATCAATCCGTTCATTACGATATACGCATATATATATATCTATATATGAGCTATTTTGTTTCCTTTTCTTTATCTTTTTTTTTCAGTCCAGTCAATAGGAACCAATGGGGCTGAAATGGGAAATAAAGCCAAAAGTTTAAATATACCAATGGCACCACAGTTTGAAGGAGAAACAGCCAAAATCAGGGTATTCCACGTTGCTCAGAATGGATGTTCAATTATCTGTCCTTCCACCACTCTCACAGATTAACAATTTTGTTTTCTAAGTTTTCCAGTTCTTCATCCCAACTGTTGAAATTGATCAGACTGGTACAATGTGGAGCCCAAGAGATTCATCTTGCAGTTTCATGTGGTTGCCATAGTAACTAGTGGCGGTCATAGGCAGTGGCAGCAGTGGGGGGTGCAGCACCCCTGGATGCGGCACTATAATAATAAGGGGAACCTGAAAGTTAACACAGGAGAAGATGGACCAGTTGGAAGGACATATAAAACTTATCAGCAAACAGTGCCCACCCAAGAGAAAGTGGGCTTGACTTGGTTATTTCATGAGGACAATCAGCTCTCTGTGCCCAGGTCTGCTTTTATGCACCGACATATCATCATCCACCCCAGTTTCGATCTCCTCAGAAATTTTCTTTACCCCAAATTGACCAGGGGGCTTCCTCCTCTCCACCTCCTTTTTATTATTTCATGGGACGTGGTCACAGCTGCCAAGGCCAGCCTTCATTGCTTCTCCCTTATTGCTTGGCCATTTCAGAAGGAAGTCAAGACCCAACCATAATTGTTGCAGACCTGGAGTCACATGTGGGCCAGACCGGGTAAGGACAGCAAATTTCCTTTCGAGAACTAGGCAGGTTTTTACACCAACTGATGACAGCTGTCCTGGGGCCCATTACTGAGACTGACTTTACAGTCAAGATTTACTGATCAAATTTAATGACCCCCAGTTGCTGAACTGGCATTTGAACCCATGTCCCCAGATTATCAGCCTTGGTCATAGGATTATTAGTCCAGTGACACCACACCAGACCCCCATCTACTCCAACTGGGTGTAGTTGATGGATAATGACAATGTAAGGATGTAAGAGCAGTTGTATCTATATGGGTCAAGTTGAATAGGGCCTAACTTTTCCTTTCTCTCAAAGGTTTAAGAGCCTTTGGAACTCTCTTCCCAAGACAGCATGGAGATAGGATCACTGAATACTTTTATGACAGAGATTCTTGACTAACAAAGGAACCAAAGGTTATTGAGGGTAGATGAGAATATAGAGTTGAGGCCAAAATCAGATTATATTCAATGATGCAAGAGGTTGGAGGGGTCAAATGACCTACTCCTGCTCCCAATTGTTATGTTCATAAGATCTTTTCCTTGCCTGTCACTCTTTGACATTTTTGGCACCTCTCAGATTTCTACCTATTCTGCTCTGAATCTTCCCAGGAAATGCTGGGAAACCAAAGAGTGGCAATTGGCCTCAATTTTTATTTACTGAGTTATGTGGCAATACCTATAATAGGGATGATATAGAGTTGACATGAGTGAAAGACACCCGAGCAAGTTGGCTGCGGACAGTGTGCCAGAGCCAAATGCTCTGTTCGTGGCACTGCTCAGAATGGTTTCAACAATAGTGGAATTCCTTTTTGTCATGTCGTAAATTTCTGACAGTCCAATCAAACTAGTAAGCCCTCTTCAGCTCAAATTCATTTCCAAGGCTTTATGTCAACAACAACTTGCATTTGTATAGCACTTCAAAAGGCAGGATAGCGGAATTGAGGATTTCCAGATCAGCCGTGATCTCACTGAATGGCAGAGCAGACTCAATGGACTGAATGGTCTACTTCTGATCTTATGGTGCTTCAAAGGAGTGTTATCAAACACACCGAGCCATTTAAGGAAATATTAAAACAGATGATAAAGCTTGGTCCATTGGTAAGTTTTAAACAGCATTTTAAGCGGGGAGAGGTATGGAGGTGGAGAGTTTAAGAGGGAAGGCCACAGTTGTGCACTCAGGCACAATCATCAGTGATGGGAACATGCAACTAGCCAGAAGAAAAGGAATCAGAGAATCCCTAAAGTGTAGAAGCAGGCCATTCAGCCCATCGAGTCCACACCGACCTTTTGAAGAAAATCCCACCTAGACACAACCCCTTACCCTATCCCTGTAAGTTTGCATTTCCTATGGCTAATCTACCTAGCCTGCACATCCTTGGGCACTATAGGGCAATTTAGCATGGCCCATCTGCCTAACCTGCACATCTTTGGATTGCGGAAGGAAACTGGAGCACCCGGAGGAAACCCACAACAGAATGTGCAAACTCCACACAGATTGTCGCCCAAAGCTGGAATCAAATCCAGGTCTCTGACGCTGTGAGGTAGCAGTGCTAACCACTGAGCCAGCCAGGAGGATGAAAATAGTTTGAGTTGAGATAATGGAGAAATTTGAAAACAAGGATGAGAATTTTAAACTGAGTTTAACTTCAAACCCATTAGCCATGAGTTTGCTCAAAGACTTCTCATTGTGAAGTCTCAGGGTTTGGGGATTGGGTAGCAATAACACTGCTGATATCAGTGAGGCCTATTCAACTAGAATAAGAAGGAATATGCATCATTTTGCCTGCCCTCCATGAAGATTAAAGCAGCTTTAAACAGAATGAGCTGAATAGTGGGTGAGACACTATCACTTTACCTCTGGGACCTGAACTCAAATCCCACCCAGACTAGCAGGACAAAGCTCTTTCTGTTTGCTGTCTGCATGTCTATATGAAACAAGTTAGAGCATTTGCAAACTAGTTTCTATTTGGTGTAGACCTACAGAGCCACATTGACGGGTGGGTTCACACAGACAATGACTGAAGTGGGAAATATTGCAGTCATTCTTCTGAGGTAGGGGCAGAGCGGAGGATACCTCCCTTTCATTCTAGGATGAAGCAAAAAGCATTTGATGTGGACCTTGGGTATCTGAAATGCATAATGTTCCATTCCCTGCCCGTTCACAGCAAACGGTAGCTTTGATTACAGGAACAGAGTTCCTATTCTCTGTGATGACAAGGGCTTCAGTTGTAAAATTGTTGAGTAACATTGTGGGTATTTTTAAATCCAGGTGTTTGCGGGTCAAACAAAAGTTAACAACACCCAGTAATTTGCTAAAAATGGATTTGTTTTTAATTGTGCAGTTTGAATGTTCTGACCCCTGGCTGGGCCAGGTCTCAGAGATGGAAACAGCTTGCTGAGGCACAGCCCACAAGTAGGTAAAAAAAATCGGCAGGCTAATCAACTGTGGGAGCCCTCACAGCTCATCCTGATCATGTCCTATATTTCATGATCAGCTGTGCTGTGGGGTAGCAGCCAATCTTGGGAAGCCTACCTGGTTAATCCTGGCTCAGCGAGCAATATTGACCACCATTGCCCCTTTACAAATCCCACCACCATCATTGCTGTCATAGCTGAAATTATCAAACTCAGTATTGTACAGGGTCCTGATACAATCCTACACGATGGAGTGCACCCATTCATTGATCCAGCAAGGGAAACCCAAACATAAATTAATTCAGGAATTCAAATGGATATTTATTTGAGGGAAAGTGAAACAAACATCAAAATATATAGGAAAACCGAAGCAGTAGCATTCACAGTGCATGAGCCCAGTTTTTAAAAATGAATCTATTCGTTCGTAGTTCTTAAACCTGTATCACATTTAGAAAGGTCTTTCTGAAGCAAGAGGCACAAACTGCTAACAGCAATGATCCAGAAAATACTCACTTAGTAATCCCGGGTTAGTGAAACGCCAGGCTTCATTGTAGGTTGTGTACTGTGGATGGGTGTAAGGGTTTCCCGAAAATTCACTACCTAAGGAAAGAAAGGAGGAAGAAAATGCTTTTAAAAAAAAGCAGAAAATAATTTGGAGATAGCAAGAACTGCAGGTGCTGGAGTCAGAGACAACACAGTGTGGAGCTGGAGGAACACAGCAGGTCAGGCAGCATCAGAGGGGCAGGAAAGTTGACATTTCGGGTTAGGACCCTTCTTCAGAAAATGGAGACTTTTCATTGAGTTGTGAGTTGTGTGTCCACGGTTGGACTGTTTCTCTTACATTTATTACTTTGGTTTAGCTCTAACACTGAATTGCTGCTAGAACTCATTGGAAAGAGTTTCTGAAGTGAGGTCACTGCTGCAGTGCAGGAAATACAGCAGTGAATTTTCACACAGTAAGATCCCATAAACAGTAAAGTGAGAATAATTAAGTAATCTGTCTCTTTTCAACGTTGTTGACTAGGAGATAAAAATAAGTAAGACTTGAGTATAATTCCTCTGTTTTTCTACAAAATAGCACCATGAGATCTTTTACCCCTACTCCCTCCCCAAATTAGCAGAGACTAGGTTTAACATTTTATCATAAAGACCGGCACCACCAACAATGCAGGGCATCCTTAACACTGAGCTGGAATTTCATCATGGAACCTTGAGGTTCACAAGGCAACAGTGATACCAACCAGACGACACCATGAGAATGAGAATAAGCATTATGTATGTACACTGAAAGGAGGCCTGGATTAAAAATAAAGGTACATATGTAAGAGATGTTGTCTGACTTTGTCTCATGACTAAAATAGGAGTTTGCTGAATTGCTTAACTATGCAATACTGGGATTCCAAGTCAGTTGCTCTCCAGAGGGAGAGCAGGGGTCGAGGCTGAGCTTTCTTCGGACTCCATCTCTGTCTCAGTGCTGCTAGTTGGAAAGAGCCGAGATTTTTACCGCAAGAAAGGACATCATTGGGCCCAGCTCACCAAGGAACCTACTACTGGACATTTCTGTCTGGCAAGCTGTAACTCATGTGAACTGATTTTTAAAAATAACTTTGGATTAATCCAACACTTGAAATTTGTAAATTATCTCCACTTCTGTCCTGCCTTAATAAATTTCCTGAGTGTAGGTATGCATAGATGGAGCAGTGAAGCAATTCCCCCGTGTTTTTGAATGTTTTGTTGATAAATCCAATCTTTGACTAAACAGTTACACTCAGGGTTTATTTCAAAACATGGAATCGCAAACAAGGCTTCGGGAACACCTTTTAGCTAACCTCAGTTAGAGATAGTAATAAAAAGGGAAAAAAGGAAAGCAAACACTAGCTCACTGTCCTAAGCCTAAGATGAGTAAAGCAATCATAATTTAAATTCACCCCATTTCCACTCTGTTTGTGACACTTGCCACTTATAGCCCAAACTGGGGCCTTGTCCAGTTCTTGTTGTATTTGGACATGGGCTGCTTCAGAATCTGAGGAGTCATGAATGTGGCTGCATATTGTTTGCTGCTGAGTATCCATCCTCACTTCTGACTTTATGATGGAAAGAAGATAAAGCAGCTGAAGGGTAGGACAGAACTCTGAGAAACTCCCAAACAGATGTTCTGGAGCTGAGATGCTGGGTTGACACCAGGTGATCTGGCTGGTTTCAATCTGAAGGGCTGAATGGGCTACTCCTTTGCTATTTTCGATGTTTCACTCATCATCAGGTCCAACAAAGATCAAGACATCACTTTCTGTAAAAGACTGTAAGACTTGACAGGCTGGATATGGAGAGGTTGTTTCCCCTTTTGGAAGAATCTAGGACCAGCGCCATAATCTCTGAATAAGGGATCGCACAGTTAAGATAGAGATGAGAAGGAATTTCTTCTCTGAGAAGGGAAGGAATCTGTGGAATTCTTTACCACAGAGGGCTGTCAAGGGTGGGTCATTAAGTATATTCAAGATTGAGATAGACAAATTATTAATCAGGAAGGGGAATCAAGGGTTTTGGGGGAAAGACAGGAAAGTGGAGCAAACAAAACATAGAACATAGAACAGTACTGCACAGTACAGGCCCTTCGGCCCACGATGTTGTGCTGACCTATTTATCCTACTAAGATCAATCTACCCTGCATACCCTACATTTTACTATCCTCTATTTACTATCCAACTGGAGTTGAGGATTATCAGATCAACCATGATTCCATTGAATGGCAGAGCAGGCTTGATGGGCTAAATGAGCTTCTTCTGTTCCTATGCCTTTTGGTTCCTTTCTAAGGGACTAGTTAGTCACTTAAGTGGGCATTAATCAAACCAACTGTAGGGGTGGGAGAGTGTATCCTGAAATCCCCCACATGTCCCATCAAATCCCAGCAGTCAGTGGGCAGGTCATGTGCAGCAATTTATGAGCCTGCCAATGGGGAACTGTAAAATTCCACTGATTGGGATGAAAGTTAATATTAACATATGTATACTGACGAGGGGTCATCGTGACATAGTGAGGCAGGAAACTAGAACGGGAGAACAAAAGCTGAATGGATCAAGGATAAGTTTAAAACATGCATCAGGACAATTTCATTCCTTGAAGAGTGAAAAACATTGGGAATGATTTGCCATTGGCATGCTCTAGAAATGCAAAAAATTAATTTAATGAGAGTGAAACAACATGTTCCAAGTAATACATTTAGAATCTTAATTGCCTGAGCCCTATTTAGTTCAATGGAGTAAAGTTGCTATAGTCTCATGGGACTACCGGACTGCTCTCACATTAGAGAGGGACGTCTGGTGGTGAGTTTAACATGATGCATTTGACCGAATTAACTTTCTGGGAGGGCAGCTGTTCCTAAACCAATGTGAAACCCCTGTGGGGGTCTGCCATGCTGCTTTAGAGTTGCCAGGATGTCTGCTATGGTTTGATTTTGCCGCATAGCACCCTTCTGTAAAGAGGTAGGGTTTAACACATGAGAAAGAAGTGTTCCATCCATCTTTTGAGTGTCAAGAGCAGAGTTTTAAGCTGCAGCCTCCAAATTCACCCTCACCTCACTCACCTGCCCCAACTGGCCCTGGTGGGTTTCACCTCTGGTCTTCGAGTTATATAGATCTACATCAAATCTGCAACATAGAAATAAGCCTTCCAGCCCAAAACTAGTCCACACGAACCTCCTTCCAGCCTCTTCATCGTATTCCAGCAGCATGTCTTTCTATCCCATTCCCTTGCATGTCCCATTGTAGATTCCCATCAAATGAATCTGACACTTGCCTCAATCAACCCTTGCGGCAGCAGCAGGCATTGCTCCTGCAGAAGACTATTGCTGCATCAATACAATTAAATTACACATCAACAAAGGCCATAGGAAACGGGAACAGGAGGAGGGCGTTTGGCCCCTCAAGCCTGCTCCATCATTCAATAGGATCATGGCTGATCCTATGTGGGAAGTGCCAACACCACAGGAGTTAAAAATAAAGAGTAACATTGTCCATAGACACAATGGAATCACTCTCAATGATTAAAACCATGGATATACACCAGTGAGATTGATTGATGAAATTTAGTTGGAGATGGACCCATGAATGAGGCAGAGTATTTCTGTTAAATATTTTATTACTGTCTTTAATTAGAAAAAATGTGTGTCAAAGACAGTATTACGCTTGCATGGTAGAAGCCCAGTGGTTTCTTTGATTTCCTCTTCTTCATGATAATCACAGGCAGGATAGGTTTGTACCAAATTAGAGTCATACAGGTATCAGCATGGAACAGACCCTTCGACCCAACTCATCCATGCTGACTAGGTTTCCTGAACTGAACTAGTCCCATTTGCCTGTGCTTGGCCCATATCCCTGTAAATCTTTCCTATTCATGTACCTATTCAAATGTCTTTGAAACTGCAATTGTACCAGTCTCTACCATTTCCTCTGGCAGCTCATTCCATATACACATCACCACCTGTGTGAAAAAATTACCCCTCAGGTCCCTTTAAAATCTTTCCCTTCTCACCTTAAACTTATACCCTCTAGTCTTGGAATCCCCTACCCTGGGGAAAAGACTGGTTATTCACTTTATCTATGCCTCCCATGATTTTGTAAACCTCTATAAGGTCAGCTATGAGATAACACAGTGTGAAGCTGGAGGAACGCAACAGGCCAGGCAGCATCAGAGGAGTGGGAAAGTTGACATTTCGGGACCCTTCCTGCACTCCAAGGAAGGAATGTAACAAAGGCTGCTAAGTTTCCTTCTTCTTAAATGGGATGGGGAGAGGGTCGGACTGGGCACATGATGACAACAAACAGGTTTAGCACAAGCTATGGTCAATGGTCTTACTGATTCAATCTCTATTAAAGCCCCTCATGACCACACACAATGTGAAGCTCAGCTTCTTTAGTTAAACTATCAGACAGTTTAATTTAAACAAATGCAAAACTTTATTCCATGCACTGCAGTGAGAGTTTTGATGAGGGTTACAGGATTGATTTTACTAATATCACTCCTGCCGTGGTGCCTCTATTTGGGAATGCACATTCTCTGTAATGTTTCCTGTAATTTTCTGGATGGAACAATTGTAGCTGACCTCCTGTGTCAACAATTCCCCATCAGAAGTGTTACCCGTAAGGCCTTCAAATCTAACTACAGACACCACATGTTAGAAACAAAACTATAATCAAAAGATTGAATCTGTTTATATGCAGTGAGTGAGACAATTAAATACAAATATAATTTAAAAGAAGTGTGATTCTCGTTGCAAGTAAGTGGGGTTTGATAAATCTGGCACACAAAAGGGTGAAGGCAGAAGATTCAATAATGTATAACGACTTTCCCAGGAACAAGTAATCCGGTCTCATCCAGGACTTGCTGCCAATGTTTGTTCCACACACGAAGTTTGAAAGCTCCTAGGACCTGAGTGCAAGGATTGATTGGCATGCAAGTGAAAGTCCTGGGATGGAGACAGAGAGGCTGTGACTCAAGCTCAAGATTGTGATTTAAACACTTTTCTTCTATTCTGTGACCCTGAAACGCTCTTCTTGAACCTGAACCGCAGGTTAAGTACAGGGAACCAGATTTGCTCCACAGCA